GGGTTCAGCCAAGATCAAAAGAGGTGTACGGGGGGGGGGGTAGATTCGAGCCTGTTGGAAGCTGCCAGTTCCACCTGCCACCTTCTTTCAGGAGTTACTCTGTAGGGTCATTCTGCAAATGCTGACCCGAAGTTCCAGAGTTGAGCCCTTCCCACTGGCTTCCATGCTTAAGCCCTGGCTATGGAGGAAGGGCAAAGCCTCTGGCTTAGGACGACCACAGGCGCAAGGGGGACTGTCACCAATTCTCCCCCGAGTTATTCCTGGGGGGGGAGTCCCTTGCCCCTAGGAGCAGCATTTGGGGGACATTTTGTGCTGCTGTGGGAGGGGGGGATTGGCAAAATCGCCCTGTGAGAATTTCAACATGGGATGCAAGCTTACAATTCCAGTGGGATGAGCATGCCGGCCCTTAGGGGTGCCAAATTGCACCCCCCGCCAAAAGCCCTGCATTTCCGCAGCCGGGGAAGCTCTTTTGCTGAACCCCGGGGGGGGGCGGCAGAAGGGATCCTCGCCTAGGGTGCAAAATAAGCTGGGGCCGGCCCTGATGCCAGTCCATTGTAAGCAAACGAAGCACTAGTCCAGCCCTGACCTGGATAGCCCAGGCAAGCCCAATCTCTTCAGATCTCAGAAGCTAAGCAGGGTCGACTCTGACAAGCACTTGGATGGGAGACCTCCTTAGAATGCCAGCAGTTGAGAGGTGGGGGCAGGCTTTATTCAGCCATCTCTCTGAATATCCTCCAGGCCACCAGTAGGGGTCAGTCACCGGAGGTCGCCATGACCTCCAGGTGCACGCACACATACATGCACACATAAAAAAAAATACCAGGGGAAAAAAAGAAATCTGGTGTTGGCACCTTAAAGACAAACAACACAGCATGAGATGTCATGAGACAGAGGTCCCTTCTTCAGATACAATGGGGAAGAAAGACACTCCTTTACCTAATTTTTGCAGAAAATTACAGAAGGGGAGGGGCCTCTGGCTGCTCAGCTCCTCCCTCTTTCCCCCTCTCCTTCTGTACTTTTCTGTAAAAATGAGGCAGATCAGTTTCTTTCCTTGACAACAGGCACGCACCATGGTTGTCTAGCACAACGGAGGAGGCGCACTTCACACTCCTAGAAGTGAAAGGAGGACCACTCACAACACACATACACTGCACATGCTCCAGAAACAGAAGTGGGAAGGGGGTCACAGACCGCATGTGCTTAAAATCATAAAGGAGGCAGGTCTGGCACATGCCCAGCGGAGGGGAATGCCCTGCACCGGCTGAGAGGTATTATCCATCCATCACGTTTTTAAAATATCCTGTTGGTCAGCTGTGTTGGTCTGAAGCAGTAGAACAAATTTAGAGTCCAGTGGCACCTTGAAGGTTTATTCAAATACCTCACACCTTGAATAAACCTTTGTCGGTCTTAAAGGTGCCACTGGACTCTAAATCTGTTCTACCGCTTCAGACCAATA